CTTTCTTTACCCACTTTAGCCAGATAGTCATCCCTTACATTATTATCCTTTGGTGAGCCACTTTGTGCCTTTATATCCTTTGTTTCTTAAGCCACATTACTAGCCTAAGTGAAAAACCAATTAATCCCACACCCTGGAGATTTACTGAGCATTGGTTTTCACTATGATGTTATGTTTAAGTGTGGGGATTTTCCCGAGATGTGCAAAAGTTTAAGTGTGGGGGGGTGACCATCTGATTCTTTTCTACTATGTGGTTTTATTTTCAAAAAAATAAAAAAATAAAAAAATAAAAACGTGTTTATTTCTATCTTTTCATTATCTTTGTTTTATTTTCTTAGTGTAGTTTTTAACTTTTGCTCTAGTAGATTTCTTGGTGTTTAACCTTCTTTTTCATATTTTATCCTTACCTTCACCTCAGCCCCATTACAACCCTACATAAAGTCCGCTTGATTTGTGCATGCATATGTTAGTAGCAGTGGAGAAGTAGAATTTGAGCAAGACTATGGTAGAATGATTTTCTTGATTAGATTTGAGTGATACACTGATTACCTGATACACTTGAGAGAAAAATATTGAGAGCATCCTGTAAGGAACCATTTTCTGTAATTGGCATGTGCAGTTGAAATCAATGGATGAAATCCTCAAGGAAAGTTCATGTACCGATTAGCCAAAGAACTAAACAATCAAATCACACATTTAACCCCTAGTGCTTGTCCAATTGCGCATTCACCAATAACACAACAACTTTATATGAATGCATCTATACCACAAGACTAACATACCATCAATCATCCAAAAAACCCTAGATTTTTGAATCAGCGTGAAAACAACAAGGGAGGTTAGGTTTCTTAATAAGAAATTCCTTAGAAGAACTAATCCAAAGCTCTACTCCTCCAATGGCGCAAACTTGAGAAGGGATTCTATCTCCTCTCAAGGCTTCTACAAGGAAATAAAGAGGTATGTTTTGTTCCTAGGGTAATTCTAAACAATTTTTATGACCATGACTTAGTATTTTGATGGCTAAATCAAGAAGTGAATTTTTGAAGCTTTCTTCCCATTGAGCTTTCAGCCAAGGCTGTTTCTCAACGAGGAAGATGAAAGGAAATGATAGAAAAGCTAGGTGTTTAAGTCATATTAAGTGATTTTGACTTTGGTCAACACTTTAACTAGGAAATAACCAATTTACCCTTAGGGGTGTTTGGTAGGAGAGTTTTTTTGGGTTCCTAGGAAAGTTGAGATGAGTTTTCTAGTTGACCATGTTTGATAAGAGGTTTTAAAAAAATTGCCCATTATTCGGATTTGCATAACAATCTCAGTTCGTGTGTAAAATTAAAATTTTTTGCCATGTCACAATACCATACAGAGGGTGGTATTCTTACTACCCCATCAAATGAAAAAGTAGGAAAAAAGCAATGGATACAAATATCCCTTCTCAAAAGACATGCCAAAAGAAAGCTAGAGAGAGAGAGTCTTCTTTGTATTTAGTCAATGGTTAGTTTGGTAATTTCATCACATTTTCTCATCAATATTTTTCCATCAACCAAACATAGACTCAGAAAATTTAACCCAATTTTTCCGGTAATATTTCGGCCTACCAAACAATTTTTTTTTAACTTTCCTACCAAACTAACTTTCTCACCATATTCCTTGTAATTGTATTTTTCTGGTAAAATAAATTTTCTCCTCAACCAAACGCCCCAGTGAAATTGCTTCCAATCTCCTCTAATCAATGAATTGTATCATCTAACATTTATTTTAACATTTACCAAAATCATTAGATAGTTTTTAACTATATTATTTTTAAGTTCCTGGTAAGTTTTGCATAATTATATTTTTATCCCAAAACTTTTACTATTTGCACTTTTGCCTCTAAAAGTGACTTAAATGACATAATTAGTTTTTTTCATATAATTAGCCTCTTTTAACATGATTCCTCAATTTCATGGCCTAATGGGCTTATGTGGAGTGTATTACACAATTAATTCTAAATTCGGGTAGTTTTTACTAAATTATCATTTTGCCCCTGATAAAGACTTAACCCTAAAATTAGTATTTTTACTTAATTAATCCTCTAATTATGTATTAATTTCTAGTTAATGTAATTTGATTATTTGGATTATTATAGCAACTATATCATAGCTATAAAAAATAACCACTCATTCAAACAATCAACCAACACTCCCAAGAAATCTCGTGGAATACCAAGTGAAGACTAATCCTCATGTCCAAAAGTTTACCTTTCCTAATTTTGATTCCAAAGCTCTTCCTTTGCTCCAATGGTCAATAAACACAATTCAGCAACAAACAACCTACTCCAAGTTAATTTAAAAATGAAAAGAATGATTTCAAGAGAACTTCCCCTTACATGAGTCCGAGAGCTCCAACTGGATAAATTAGTTGGGAAACCAAAAAGAAGATCACAAAATGTCTTCAGCAGGTCATGAAGATATATAAGCTAGTGGTTCGCACGTGAGTGAAAAAGATAATCTTTAATATGAGTTCGATTACAATTTATGGGAAAGAGAATTTTTAATCTAGAAATGATGAGATTGAGAACAATATATATATATATATATATATATATATATATATATATATATATGAGATAATATTCTTATGTGGGTGAGACAAATATGTGGGATCCACAATATAAAAAGAAAAAGAAATGAAAAAATTGGCACAAAATTCTATAAATGTATGGCATAAAATAACTCTTTTATATAACATGAGAATATTATTTTCATATATATATATATATGAGAAATATTAACCTCATGTCACATTAGACAACAAGTCTCTCCTACACACTCAAAAAGATATGCGTCCCACTTCAAATTTTTTTTCTCTTTTTCCGTGCAATGGGACCCACATAAAATTGCGAGTGCAATATGAGATAAATATCTCCTGTTGCATAAGAAAATATAATCTATGTATATATATTTATATATATATATATATATAGTAGTGACCCTTACTTATTATCTCCAATACAGGAAAACAACCATACACTTCCTTTAGTACTACTTAGCCATAAGGACAGAATGATTTACAGCCAAGCATAACACATTGCTTCACCAACTTCATAAATATTGATGCTAGAAAACTGTACACAATTCACATCTCAACGCTGGCAACATGAGTTATTATATTATATATAAACTGAAATAAACCATATTTCCCGTGGAAAGAGATCGTCAGAGTTGTGCTTTTCCAAATGGAGATCAGCCCAATAAGAATTTTCAATTCATTTCTATAACGTAAGCTACGTGCACACTTGTGATTGACAAGCACATGTGTCCTTGTCCTTTGTCCCTTTCTCAAATGTGCACATGTTACTGCCCCCATTGAATGCTTGTCCCTTTCTAGTTATTCACTTTGTTATGGCGTTGGTGGAGGCTCCTCATGCCTGCTCCTGCATGTATTACTCATAACTTAAGTGAAGAATCCACACCTTTCAACATCAAACTTGTCTATGGCATTTCTATTCTTCTTCCCCCACCATTCCCTGAGCCAATAATAAGAACTTTTCCAAATTATGCTGATCGATCTTGAGTAAAACAGACGCTTTTCTTTTCTTTACACTCTTTGTCTTATTATTTTGTTGTTGCTCCTATATGTTTGCAAACATATCTACTGTGTTAACTATATACGCCAGGTTCTTTGCAGAGAGCGACACGTACTTTTTAACTTCTCCATACGAGTCTTTCTTTTATTTTGGGGCAATGACTAGTCTTTCTTTTATTTTGTGGCAATGACTTAAAGCAAGAAAAAGGAATCTGGTCTCTGTGTGTGTGTATATATGTATATATATAGTGCACATCTGTTTTAGCTAGCTTTAATGGTGGCAGATAGTTCAAGAGCCTAACAATGATATTGAACTTTGAAAAGTTATGATTGTCATTGATTTGATCCGAAGGAAAGAAGAAAAGGGTGCTCATTCATGTTAGAGTGTGGGGAAGAGTCTTATAATTATTAGAATCTTAGGTAATTAGACAAGAGTTGTTGTCACAGTTGCAAGGGCCACATCAACCTTCCTTTCAAGTATCAAATTGGTCCCACTTCAGATACAAAATTAGCACCTACTTATTAGCAAAAAAGATTAGCACCTACTCTTTGGTTGATAACTCTTCTTAAACAATATAATCAATGAGTTTGACCAAAAAGCAATTCACTTCACTATCAGCATAGTTAAGTAATTTGCATCAACTGCCCAATTCATATATATATATATATATATATATATATATATTCATATTTTTTTAATTCGATTTCCATTTTTCTTTTTTGAATTCGTCGTTTTGTTTTAGGTGCGCTATCAATTCCGAAAGACAATTCTAGGGTTGTATGGTTAGTGTAAGGACAAGTATTCCCTCCTTTAATTCCCATTTCAAGTTTTGTCCGGTTCTCAATATCCGAGGAAGCTACCTAGCGATGTGAAGACTTTCATTTACTTATACATATAAAAGAAACGGATGACCATTAAGCAAACATACTTCTAGCTTTCTCTTGCATCACAACCAATCAAGAACCCCACCACTCCCTCTTGGTGACGTGTTGTAACTTCATTGGCGAGAAAACAACAATACTTTAGACAAAGCTTAGTGTTTATAGTAGTGTTTTCTAATAAAAATATAACATGTGTTGTTTTTTTATCACATCTTTCTTTTCATAACTTTTGTAGTTGTGGCATGAAAAATAATATATGTCATGCTTTTATTAAAAAATAACACCACATGTAATTAACAAAAACTTTATTTGAACTTTATCCTAAGACTTTGGGGGCCAAGTGTTCCTGTGTATTTATGCTTGTCCTTTCTCCATGGTTGAAATATATGATCATCAAAAAAGTTGGTAAAATAAGGCTGCTCAATACCTCAAGAATCATGATCTATTTCCATATTTTATTCCTATAGTGCTTTACCCAAATAAACCATCTACAAATTCACACACTAGGGTTAGGGTAGTAACCAGCAAGCACTGAGTTATATATAGAGCTAGAGCTAAATCTCTATAGAAAACATCATCCATCAGTCTGATTTCCGGGGATCATTTTGGGTGAAAAGAAAAAACTGATTTTGGATCCCAAATTAAGTGCTATCTGTAAATATAGAGAAGGAGTTGATTAGGGTTTTTAATTGTAAGCATGAAAAAGAGACAGGTGGTGGTGAAAAGAGATGTCTCCAACACCTCATCTTCTGTAATCAGAAATATTCGATATGGCGAGTGCCAGAAGAATCATGCAGCAAATATTGGAGGGTATGCTGTGGATGGTTGCAGAGAATTCATGGCTAGTACAGGGGAGGGATCTAGTGGTGCTCTTACATGTGCAGCTTGTGGCTGCCACAGGAACTTTCACAGAAGGGAAGTGCAAACTGAGGTAGTATGTGAGTACTCTCCTCCTAATTCTGGTCGTTGATCCCTTAAAAAAGAAAGGGGAAAAAAAAAAAATATAGTTCAGAGTTTGTGTGTATCAAATTAATTAACTGATTGAATTTTTCTCATCTATCTTTTCTTTCTTTCTTTGGGTTCTTGTAAGCGTGGATTGCCAACAGAGACACATTTATTTGTTAAAGAAAAATTTAAAACTTCAGGGTTTGTGTTTTGGAATATTGTATATCCATGCTTCTTTTCTCTTTTCCCCCCTTCCATTCTTTTCTTCCTCGTTTGTCCATTTTTAATCTTTTAACATTCTTCCTAAGGTAGGTTAGGAATCTCGGACAATTAAGGAAAAATGATGAAAGAGTGATTGATTAATCTGATGAGGTAGTGATAATTGGAAACTATATATTGTTTTCCACTAATATATTATACTATTACTCCACAGAACTTGTAACCTAGATATCCGATTATAATTGGATCTTAATCATGTATTTGGAGTTGGGAATAAAAGCCTTTGTTAATTGGTTATTGGGTCGCTGTTAATGAGTGGTTGTCCAATTTTGCTTATGATACCGAATTATATGTATACTATGCTCGCTGTGCAATTAAACTTGATCAGGCTGCACATATAAATATTAACAGCAATAGCACTTCCACTAAATCTGTGTATGTCTGGTTTAATTAGTACAAATTTGATTTAATGGTTTACCGCATTAACGATTTTTATGTGTGTGTGAGCATGCGCTGAAAGGAGCAATTATTTTATTAGGTGATTAAAGTACTTGTTCAAGTAATAGTGCTTGACCTCTTCAAATATTCTTTATGAATGTTTATTCTTTCCGTGCTTCTTCTCCCACTCCCTTGTGAGACAACTAAACATATTTGTTTATCACTTAAGAGGCACAGAAAATAGAGAAAAAAGAATGTCAGATGACTTCTAAACACCGACCCTGTTTCTACATCATCAATAAGAATATGATATATCAGGCTTAGTTTAGTAAAATTATGGATTATCTTGAGAAAGCCAAAAGATGTTAACTGCGTATTCTTCCTTGTCATGTCCTCAAGGCAAGAAAACAGGTTAGTGTATATGTGATGAAGATAAATTATCTTTGTCCCAATCATATAGCATTTGAAATATATTATAATTCCTTAAGGCCCACTTGTATTCAATTATGTCAAGGATATGCCTTTGATATCTTGATACATTAATTAAAGTTGACAAAAGGTTAAGCCACACAATTAATTTGTTGTGGAGGTGACATCCTCTCTTTTGGGTAGTAAGTGGACTTGCTCATAGACCATAAGGAAATTATTTCAATAAATGTTGTGGGGGGGGGGAAAGAAGAAGCAAAAACATGTAGCTTTAACAAGTTAGATGCGCTTCCTATCTTTTTGCCTTGTGATGTATGGGCTCTTTAGTTGTTTATTATTGTCTTAATGAACGAAGGATATATGCACGCTTCTTGTCTCTGAATAAGCCTTATTTATCACCTAGATGTGAGTGTAAACTGGCGATGTATCTCTACGCTTCATGGGAGTAGATTCTCTCATGTGAAAAAGTGGTTATGTAGTTATGTTATTTGATCACAATCACTCATTGATAATGAGATAAGAGAGTAGAAAAATGTATAATTTTTAAATGAGTGGTTGTAATCAAATAACATGACCACATGACCATTTTTTCACATGAGAGGATCCACTCCCACCCTTCAGTTATGAAACACTTATTTTATTGTTCCACTAGCTAAGTAGTAATATTAATAGGTGTTTTGACCGATCCACGCAGGCCCAATAAGTTGGGTGGGTCGTCCAAGGCCCATTGAAGACCTAGTTCTTTAGCATCACATAGATGAGTTCATGAATTTCACCATATGGAATTTCGTTCACCTTGCACATATTACTATCATACACACTTGATGGTGACCGGTGAGGCAGTGCCTCACTACTAGAGTGAGACCTAGGCTAATAGTTTTGGCTCATTCTCATTTACTCTCTCTCATTATAAAGGAATATTCTTCCACCTATATAAATCCCCCCACTCCAATAGAGGAGGCATTAATATCACACACTTTCATGAGCTATTACTCTAATGGATTTTAGAGCTACCATCGCCTTACACACCCCACTCCCACCCCCTTCTGCAACTACACTTTGGTGACTCTTTTTGAACTTTGATCTATACCACTGCCTCTTTTGAACATTTGCACATTGAGACACTACATCCCCTAGGGATACAAACCTTGTTCTTCTTTCCTCAACAGTTCAATAGGCAAAGAAAAATGAAAACATAGTTGGTCAAGAAATTGGTGTAATCAGAATGTAGATTGTCATAATTAAGTATGAAAACATTCTTCATAACAACATTTTTTTTTATTTCTTAGAACTATCTGAACCCTATTTAAAGTATCAATTGTGTTGGATAAATTGAAATAACATGTTTGGGAAGAGTCGAAAAGGCAAAACGCATTGATTTGTTGCCACAAGTTTTCCAGGTGCATGCTATTATTATAGGGGGATCAAATTCCTATAGGCAAAAAGTTATTGAAAGAAAATCTACTAGAGGCCAATAAAAACCACTCAATGTGATGTAAGATATTGTTTCTTTATCAGCCAGGGATTAATGGGAGATTACTTTTACAGGGCCATCAATGTTTTGACATATAAAAATACCCAAATTGGACTAGCCAATTGAATGGCAGACATAACAAATCACTAAGTCACACAAGCTTTGCAAGGGTATTGTAGGGATCGTCAAATTAATGTGCTAGAGAGTAAGGATTAAATCATGCATGTGAGCCCCCTGCTTAGGTATAGATGGATGGTTGGCCTTAAAATATGTCTATGCTCTGTCGGGGATAGATTAGAGTGCATGTCCTTGTTTGTTTTGCTCATTCTCACTTTCTGTTGTTAATTTGGCTAATATTCTACAATGCAAGCTCATGAAAAGCATAAAAAATCCCTTTATTAGTCAAGCTCTACCACCTCCATTAATTATTTCTATAATGTATCATGAGAGAAGAAATAATGCCAACCACGTGTTTGACTCCAGTCGAAGCTGCGATTTTTATTTTTTTTTTTGAAAAGAAGAACAAATTGCCTGTTGTTAACGTGATCTTCGTGCTAGCTTCAGAAAATTAATGAGAAAGCAGAACTTTAGTGCTATTACTAGTGGATTCTTCAAACTGGTGGGTGATGTTCAGATTCATTGCCTTTGAAGCACACCTTCAAATATAACAAGCTTAGTGAGATAAAAATGGTAAGGTAAACTTGAAATGGTTTTAACTGATCCGTTGTAAAGTTTGCCAACTATTTAGCTTAGTTTCAGAAAGAAATTCAATTATAACCACTAACAATCATGCAAAAATGATGATGACGGAGCTTTACACTCTCCCTCTCCCCCCCTCTCTCTCTCTATATATATATATATATTCTCTCTCTCTCTCTCTCTCTCTATATATATATATATATATATATATATATATATATATATATATATATAGGCAGGATATTCTTACACCAGTGTAAGAGTTAGAAGTCTTTCACTCAATCTTGATCATTAATCCACTTGTATGTAATGGCTCATATTACTAAAAAAATTTGAGCTCTTAGATATAAGTGGGATCAGCGGACAAGATTGAGAGTGTAACTTACATTGGTGTAAAATGATCCTCACCCATATATATATATATATATATATATATATATATATATATATATATATATATACACACACACACACACACACATATACATAGAGGTAGGATCCTTTGTGTAAGAACTCGCACCGTTAAATTAGAAATTTAATTACGAGTTAAGATATAAATTTCATAATTGACCTTGAATAATTATGAGTGAGCTTAAATAATTATAGTGAGTGATTAATAATGTTGAAAGTTTCTTTTTATACATTGAGGTTTAATATTGAGATAATTGCACAGGATATATTCATAATTGAATTAGTAAGCTTCCGCACAATGTTTTAATTAATTAAGCAGATTTTAATTTACTATATCTATGTTAATACACCGGGTGCACACGGGGTGTTACATTTTATGGTATCAGAGCACTTTCTAGGGATAAGCCTGTATGTAATGTTATAACCTCAAGTTTTCTTGTTTGTCTTTGTTGTCTCATGAGTTGTCTTTTGGGTTTTGCTGTGATAATGCATGTGTGACCACATTGTGTGGGCCTGATAAACTCATCCTCTGTGTGTTACATGTACAGAGTTATGGCTCCCAGAAGAACTCGGGAGGCATCAGAGGGTCAGCCGGATCCTATAATTGCTGCAATGGCTGAAATGCAAGCGAACACGTGTGTGGATATGCAAGCTATGTTGGATAGTGTCAGAGAGGAAAACAGGAAGGCTACAGAAGATGTGCTGGATGCCAATAGGATGGTGAATATGACTATGTTCAGGGTGATGCTAGAAGAGATAAGAGCTGGGCATGAACACACGTGTGGATATGCAAGCTATGTTGGATAGTGTTAGAGAGGCAAACAGGCAGGCTACAGAAGATGTGCTGGATGCCAATAGGATGGTGAATATGACTATGTTCAGGGTGATGCTAGAAGAGATGAGAGATGGGCATGTTGGAGGCCAGCCTCCCCCGCCCCACCACCACCTCTATCGCCGCTGCCACCACCTCCACTTTTTTACCGGGGGGAAGATGAAGCTGACAGATGGCATGGCCATGATGATGATTGTAACACCCCGTATATATCCGGTAATGTTATCATAATATCGTATTAAGCTGCGCTTAATTAAAAATGCGGAATTACTTTTTCTTTTCAATTATGATGCCATTAACATTACCAACTTACTTAATAATCAATTAATAAAACATCGCCTGTATGTAATCGCAATAAAACAGATAACTGAAATACCTCATAACATAGATAATATAATTGTGGCTCTAGTCACGGAACTACAATAACGTAGACCGGACCATCTAACAGTTTATACAACTCCAAACTAAAAGTACTAACACAAAGTGTCATGGACAATCCCCATGCTCACTCAATAAGGCAACATGCCCAACATCAGTCTCAACAACAACATATCATAAATAGCGGAAAACATAAACAACATTCCAAATCCAGTCATGCTAACATAAAGCAGTAAAACATAATCAGCTAAGCTCCGGCCTCCTGCCGCCCGAGGCATCA